TTGGTGATTTTAGCTGTGAGTTGAATGTCAGCCTTTGTGTTAAACTAAATGCTCAAGGAATACATAATTCAGAATTCCCCAGTGGTTGTCCTGTTTTCCTGTAGATGAGAAGAGGATGCAGCCAGCAGGTCTGATTCCAGATGAGATAAAATGTTGTTGTAACAAAAATAATGGTTAATGAGCACGTTCTCATTTAAGTGAGTTATCCACTACCACAAAGAAAAAAAAAAGAAAAAAGGACAAAAAAAAAGCTTCTGGCAGACAGGAAGGAAAAGCATTACCCAAAATGGTTTTCGATATTCTTAAGGAAAAATCTTACGGTTCTTATTTGCTAGTTTTTTGGTTTCTGCATTATGCAATCCTCACTCACAGCAAAACTCTAATGTGCTGAATGAAACACAGTAACAAATAGCATTTGACTAAACAGACAGCACCGTAATACCTGTTTGTTGAAATCTGATATGAAACTTAATTCTAAAATATTCTAATTTGTGAGTATGCATAAGTACTAATTTGACTCAGTATAAATACTCCATAAGTATTTAGGATAGACATGAATCAAGACTATAAAGAAAGGAAAACTACCACTTGTCCAAGGTTTGGCTCTAAATGGGACAATGAGCAATACAATGAGATTCTGCTGCTGATCTTCTGGAATGCATGGCTCCATAGAGCACCAACTCCCTGGCCCTCCTACCCCATTCCAAAACATTTTCTTTTTCTTTTTTTTTTCTTTTTCTTTTTTCTGTATCTTGTTCCATTTCTCATTGCCTCCCATCTCACCCAGACTTCTCAGTGCCAACCTCTTCTCTGCTGAGTGTCAATGAAAAAAGCAGCGAGACTAAGAGCTTTGTATCAGCAGTCCTGCGGAATTCAAGGACACAACTGCAGCACGTCCCAAAAGGCCAACAGACAGAGAGTGCTCAGGTGGTTGGAGATCAGATATGTGCCATTGAACATTGTGCAGCTGTGAGGAGACGAGACGTGCTTGCTAAGACAATCTCCAAAGTTCAGCTGTGAAAAAAATCATACAAACAAATTCCATATGTTTTGCTTTTTCAAATAACTGGCTTGCTCTAGTTCGAGGAATCTTTTTAAGGCAAAACAAGCCAAAAGACAAACTAACACCCACAGCCTGAGATAGACTTTTTCTAGGAAAACTTGCAACTCCTGGTTTAGCAGCACCAGAAGCTTCATCCCCTTCCTGCCTAAGGAGCCTCAAGTGCAACTTCTTGGAGACAAAGTTTCATCACTGAAGGGCTGCACCTTGCCTTGTTCTAGTACTCAGCCCCTGCTGATTTTACCTCCAGACTGCCACTTGGATATAAACACTTCATCTTATTATTTTTCTCATTCCAAATGCAATTATCCCAAATGTATGCTCACTAGAAATAACTCAGTTGTAGTGAATGGATCAGAAGATATGCAAAAACAAATGCACAATTTTTCATTGCTATTTTGTGTTAGACATTGTGTGAAAACCTCAGAGGCAGTCAGGAAGGACTTGTTTCTAAGTCGAGTGGGCAATGGCAACAAAGAAAATGTAGACAGAGGAAGATAAAAGAGATATAAAAGAGATGAAGCTATCAGGCTAATAGAGCACAGTATTGATGTTCTCAGGCCCAGGTAAGTGCCTCAAAACAAAAGATACATCCAGACTTCAAGAGTTTTTCCTCTTTAAAAACTTCAGGTAGGAGCAAACTAACAAGGATTAGGAATGCATAGTGCCTAATGACTGCCCAAACCTCTTTGGTTTCCATGGCTCATGGCACTTCAGTAAGTCTATTTCTGCCCTAGAGAGATGAACCCATTAATTGATAACAGTAGGATACACGTGTGCAGCTCTGCTCCATACTTGCCTGCAGCTGCCCCGATCTTTGAGTTTGCTCCCTTGCTTCCATGCTCTTGCTTTAATGTATAATTTCCACTGCATTCAGGATGCCTCTCCCAACCACGCTAAGAATGCCCGCGACTCCCAAAAGGCTTTAAATTTCTGAACTTCCCATTATCTCCAGTGTGAACTCCCTAAGCACATGGAGATGTGAAGCAAGAAACACTTCTTATGTAGCTTTTGAAAAGCTGTCCCAAGATATTTAAGGCAAATGTGGATTTTTGAAAAATACGTAGACTCCAATAGGAGCTCCGTTTTTATTCCACTCTCCCTGTTATATCTTCCCCTGAATGTTACAGAGCAATGGTTTTCCCTGGGGGAAGTACTCTGAAACCTATATCAAACACTTAATGGAAAATATCAGCACTTGGCACCTCACTTTAAATTAAGGAAGAACATATCCTTCATCTTCTCTGGCCTACATGTGACAAATGTTTCCTGGAAGAAAGGTGCGATGCTGTTTTATTATTTATGCTAATTCCAGCTAAGGCTTTGACAAAAAGGAAAATAACTTCTGGGGGGCAACGTCTACTCTGTATAGCTGTTGATGGGTTTGGTAAATTTGGCTGGAAGTGCCCCTAGCAGACCAGCCTTTGAAGGCTGTGTTCACTTAACTTGGACTGTAAGGTCACAGTGTAGTCCTTGGTGTCTGGAAAGGAAGAAATACCAATATTTTACAGTGCTCTGTCCAATCATTGTGGGAAAAGGTATGGTTTTGTTCTATTTCTTGTGGGTTTTTCCTTTTGTCATAGATTTAGCTTGTATTTATGCATCAATTCTTCCTGTTCTTCTGTGTCCTATTTGTTTTGATAGGGAAGGACATAATGGAATTATGATGAGGGGCCTGGAGCATCTCCCTTATGAGGAAAGCCTGAGAGACTTGAGACTATTCAGCCTGGAGAAGCTTGAGAGGGGATCTTATCAATGCTTATAAATATCTAAAGGGTGCGTATCAAATGGATGGAGCCAGGCTCTTTCAATGGTGCCAAGTGACAGGACAATGGGCACAAACTGGAACATGGGAGGTTCCATCTGATCATGAGAAGAACTTCTTTGAGGGTGACAGACCACTGGAACAGGCTGCCTAGAGAGGCTGTGAGGTCTGCTTCTCTGGAAATACTCAAATTTAACCTGCACACTTTCCTCTGTTACCTACCTTAGGGAACCTGCGTTAGCAGGACAGTTTCCAGAGGTCCCTTCCAACCTTTAAGATTCTGTAATTCTGTGATTTGCAGGAGTTGTGGAATAGTGTCTAAATACCGTATAAATTTTAAACTCTTTCACTAGTTCATCTTTGCCTTAATCTAATGTAACTCTGAGCACTGGTAATAACTGCAGTGTATCAATCTTTGCCCTGCACAGGCAAAGATGTGCCTTTTCTCAGCTTTTCTCAGATCCTAAATGGTTTTTAGTCTCTACAAGACATTACTGTATCAGCAGTGTTATCTGGCAAAACTAAAAACATAGGAAAGTGTGCTTACTATTTAAAATACTCCAGGACTGGTCTGTGCAGACTACTACTATGGAAGAATGGCTTCTACAGCCATTTTGATGCCAGTGCAGTGAAGTAGAAAAAACAAACTAGATAGACTTCATAAGCTGTGATTAAGCACAGTGCTAAATCCTCAGGGAAAAAAAAGTCTCTACAATGCAGTTACAGAAGCAAATTTGGCTCATGTTCGCAGAAGAAAAGATGAGACTAATGGAAAAATATACGGTTGCTGACTTTTCTTAAAATTAATTTATACAAGTGGCTCTGCTGCCTGAGCACACGTTCGTGTGGATGTGAGGTGTATTATTCCTACCCTTTTTGTAACATAACCGTGGTGACTGCATCACATGATGCTAGTGCAAACAAAGTCACATTAACAGCCCATGAATAGATGCATTTTCCTAGAATACAGTTTCGCATTGGGACTATCGACTAGTTCCTGGGCTACCAGAGGATAAGGATAGGTACAGACAGCTTTGGGAGCATGGGGTAAGGGGAGAAACCATCAGAGCAGTAGAAGATAATTGTGTTTATCATATAATTGAAAAGGGTACAAAGGATATAGTTAATTCTGTGAGACTACTGCTTCGTTACTGTATCAGACAGTAAGAACATAACTTTTAAACATCACTCATTCTATTTCTACCTCTTCTCTATGTCTTTTTTGCTTTTAAAACCTGCATTTTGAATCTGAGAAGCCAGCACATTGAGCTGACCTCCCCCAAGAAGGAAGATTTGCTCCTTTATTCCTCTTACAAAACCTACTCACATCAAATTCAACTGCTCTTGATGGATTCGACTCATCTCCCTAATCTGATTTCTAACTATTAAGTTACTCGCCCCTATTTTCTTTCTGTCCCACTCTCTTGTGTTACCAATTCATCTAGTGGGAGCTCTTTCTCCCACAACAGAAGCACTTCTCTCAATGCCACTGCAAAACTTTATTTCCCCCTTGACTTTCTGTGAAAAGCATTTTTTTACATAAATTAAAAAAAAAAAAAAACAAACACTCATCAATTTCATATCAATTTCATAGTAATCTACACGCAGTGACGACACTACGTTGAATTAGAGTTAGAAGAAGATCTTCTGGCAAAAAGAAAACCTTTGCACGCGCTTGATGGTCACACGCGATTGGTGTGGGCGTGCTGGAGGCCATCTTTACAGCCACCTCACGCCTCGCGGGGCGGCAGGGACGGAAAGGGCTTCGCAGGGGCAGAGCGCCCCTTGCTCTGACTGAAAAGCCGAACAGATGGGCCTAGAGAACCCCTCCGTCCACCAGCCGCCCCCTCGACCCCTCCGCAGGGCCACCGCTTCCCACCCGCCCCACAGAGGGCCCGCCCCGCCTCCTCGCAGGGCCCGCCTCCCTCAGCGCCGCCACATCCCATTTCCCGCATCCCGCCCTCCCTCCGTGACGCCCCGCCCTCCTCTGCGCATCGCCGCCCATCGATTGGCTGAGAGCGGAGAGTGACGGCAGCGCTGAGCAATAGAGTCAGCGCTGGCGCGGCGGCACCGCCCAGGGGGCGTGACCGCCGCCCGCCCCTACCCGTCGCGGCCGGGCGTCGGGGCTGCGCGCTGCCATTCGGCGCTGGGGCGGCGCGGGCGGCGGATGGTGCACCGGCGGCTCCCGGTCGCTGGCGGGGGACGGAAGCTGGAGCCGGCCGCGAACGCCTCACCTTCCCCCGGCCCTCCCGTCCCACCGCCTCCGCGCGCTCTCGTCGCGCCCCGCCGCCGTCCACTGTGAGCCGGCGGCGCCGTACGATGTGAGCGGCCGCGGGACTCGGCAGCGCCCCCGGTGCCCACGACGCTGGGGCGGGCAGCGATGGCCGGAGCCTGGCGTGGGAGCAGCCGCCGATAAGAAGCGCCGGGGGCAGCCGGGCGGCGGCGCGGAGACTCCCCGGGGCCGGGAAGCGCCGCTCCCGTCCCGCCCCCTCCCTCCTCTCCTCCCCCGCGGCCGGTGCATGCGGGGCGCCGGGGGCAGCGCTCGGCTCCTTCCCCCGCCGGAGAGCGTGAGCCGCTCGGGGCCGCGCCCCCCGCTATGTCCTCGTCGTCCAGCTCCTCGCAGACCCCCCCGTCCCACCACCAGCCCCCGCCGCAGAGGATGAGGCGCGGCGCCGCCGGGTCCCCCACCGCCGGTGGCGGCGCGGCCGGGGGCCCCGGCAACGGGGGCGGCGCGGCGGGGAGCAGCCGCCTGCTGCAGCCCATCCGAGCCACCGTCCCCTACCAGCTCCTGCGGGGCAACCAGCACAGCCCGACCCGCTCCCCCTCCGCCTCGGTGGGCAGCAACACCGGGCCGGGAGGGGGGCGAGGCGGCAGCCCGCCGCCCCCCAGCGCCACGCCGCCGTTGTCGGCGGGAGGCGGCGCGGCCGAGGCGAGCAGGGTGAAGGGCCGGCAGCGTCGCTCGCCGGACAGCGGCGGCAGCAGGAGGAGCAGCTCACCTGAGAGACGCAGCCCCAGCTCCCCCGTGTACAGAGGTAACGCACCGAGAAGGACGAAGCCCGCTTCCTACCCCGGGGTGGGGGGGGAGAGGGGGTGCCTTCGGTTCGCCCTTAATGTCCGTCCCCCGGGGAGAGGGCAGAGAACGCACCTCGTCCCGCTGGGGGCCGTCCCCTCGGAGCCGCCCCCTGGAGCGGGGGTGGGGGTTGGTTGTGTGGGGGTGCCGGAGCTGAGCCCTGCTGCAGGTGTAGTGCTGCGTGCGGGCTGCCGGTGGGTCCGAGCTGTCCCAGCCGAGTTGTTGGATGTGTGTTGAAACCAAACGTCGAGCGCGCTGCCCTTCTGCGCGGCTCTGTTTCTCAAGTATTTCCTTTTATTTAGCTTTCTCTGCGGGTTGAAATCACGTAATGTTTTCAAACGCGGGCTCCGCAGTAAGAAAGAAATTCCCATATTGAAGCGCTTAAAAGCAAATAGCACCGTCTGTCTGTCTCCTCGTGATACTCAATACTGTATCTTGGAGGCTGTGGGAGCCCCAGCCCCGTAGCCCGAATGGGCCTGTAAAAGTTTAAAATGTTGAATTGGCTGCTAGTAAGTGCGACTTAACCTGTATCAGGTTGTCTGCTGATGTGCTGAACGCGTTAAAGTGGCAGTGGCCATCTTACCTCCCCCTGCCAGTCCCTCGGCAGCTGAATGAGGCTGCACTGAGCAGCCCCGCCGTGCTATCGGGTATCACGCATCGCCTCTTCTTGGCTCAGCACCCCCCGCTTCTGCTCTCCCTTCCTCCAGCCTCGCTGCGTGCCGTTTCTGTGACAAACTGCGGTCTGTAGTGGTTGCCGACGTGTTTTGTAGCTGCGGGATCTGTTATTTTCTCGCCAGCCCTCCCCCCTTTCAGCCTTAGATGTGTAGTAAATCCCTACAATCCGTAGTAGTTGTAACTGAGGCAAATCAACGTGACCGGGGATGGTCGTAAGGCACGGGCAGCGTTTTGCGAAGGAGCAAGATGTCACTGCCACCTATGTGCGGAGTTAATCTGCAGTGTAGTGTCTGTGCTTGGGCAGATGGCCGAATTTGTTGTTAACATTGAAACAGAATTACTTTGTAACTTCTGCATGAATGTATGATCTTCCTGAGAAGTTTTTGCATGCTTCAAGATGGAGCTGCTCTTCAGTGCTGTTGCTTCATTCAAGCTCTAATTAAGATTTTCAAGATCATATTTTCCCTACTGCATGAAGCTCTAAACGTAGATTTCCTTTTCTCCTCCCTTTTCAACGCTTAGAAAATACTAACAGGAAACAACAAAACCAAAAAACGCAGTGCACATGGATACTGCTAACACTGAAGCTGATGATGAATGCTGTAAATAATTACGAGAGCCTGGTGCAAAACATTGTAGTGGTGCAGTGTGTGAAGGACTGCACATACTCTGTGTTGAGGAGAGAAGAATGTGGACAGTTACCTGCAAGCAAGGAAAAATGCTGCAAAGCTGTGAAGTATTTCATTATTACGCATGGATTTTTTTGTCTGAGGGGGAACTTTAATTTTAGAAAGTGGTTTTAGTCTTCATCTGTGGGCTATTTTGCCCTTAATAAATTGGGCTATAAATTACTGCTGAATGACTTTTCCGTCATTAAACTTGTTGGAGCTTGCCTCTTGGTGAGCCACGCTAGCAGCACAAGCAACCTGATGCAGTGAGAGTGCAGCGTAGGAAATCATAGATGGTCCATCAAGAAATCCACCCTGCTATCTGTATGCGCTGTGAGGAATTTGGACCCCCCTCCTCCAGGTCCAGCCAGCTGCTGCTGCAGAAGCTGACATCCTCCAGCAAATCCTGAATGAATGAATGAAAACAACGTGATCGCCCTAATAATGACCGCAGTCACACACGTCATCAGCTTTATTTTTACAGAAATACAAGCACCATTTTCTAGCAGGTTAGGGCAGCAAGATACACTATTTCTTCAGCCTTTCAAATTAAAAAAAGAATACTGCCCTCCTTCACCCCCTCAAACCTAGAGCTGTTTTACACAATTTGGAATATTGTTCTGTGCTGTGGGCCAGGGTTTTGGTCTTTGTTCCCTTGCTTATTCCCATCATTCTAATGCATGATGTCTAGATTCTGAAAATGATGTTTGTAATGTGTACGGTGGTAGTACTATATAGAAAATTGATTGGTGAACTGAAGGACTGCTGCAGTAATAATGGAGGGCTTGAAAAAATGCCTGTTTTCAAACACAGGCCATCTTGCTGCAGCTTGTTAAACAATGTGCTACTCCAGCTATTTATAGTTGTGATCAGTGTACAGGTCTTGGGGAAGCTACTTGGTTGAGGCTTTTTTTTTTTGTCTCTTTTTAAAAACATTTCCCACTGCTGTGCAGTGGTGTAAGCTTGGGCTGTAGGTATAATCCTGTTGTTTTTCTCAGCAGTGCGAGAGATCTGTTTGTCTTTGGCTCTGCAGTCTGATTTAGACTGTTCCACAAACATGCTTGTGCTGGAGGCTGCTTGTGGTTCTGATGGATAGATGTTTTTCTCTTCTGAAGACACCTGCTCCTTCCCTACCTCATTCCAGCAGGTCTTGAACTGGATACATCCTATTTTGTTGTAAATATTTTGGTGATTTGTCAGAGGTTCTTTTTTTTTTGCAAATGATCTATGAAAACACTCCAGCTTTGAGCCTCTACAGGTCAGCGCAACTTCCATTGCAGGCATTGACATCACTACTACTTCATGAATTAAAGTAGCACGCTGCCTCTCCTCTTATCGTCGTGCTCCCTTTTCTTCCTTCCTGAGGTGCCACAGATGTTTTTGTTCTGTAGCAAAATATTGTGTTTATTTGGTATTTTCTTTAAGCAAATTTCAGGTTTTTGTAGTTCCTAAGAAATGGTTGCTGTCAGTGTTTGGTCAGTGTTGTTCATGAATGGATGAGAAATCATGAATGCTGTATGCTAATTTCAAGATGCTGAAGAAGCAGGAAAAAGGGGCAAAAAACTTACCATAGGATAAGTCTGCAATGTGTGAGTCTATTCCTTCCCTTTTTAAAAATACACCTTGTTATTCCTTTCTCATAGACATTTATAGCCTATATTCATATTTTAGAGCTGGCAACTTAAAAAATGGTTGAATGTGACAACATATGGTTTTCTTAGAAGGAATCTATGTAATTATCTGATGGCATAAATGTAACAGTAACAGAATGTGAAGCTGTGTGTTTTATCACAAAGGACAACTCAATAATAAGGCAAAAAAAAAGAAAAACCCCTTTTGAGATGATCAGACAAAATGTATTACTTGTAAACATGTAGTCCTAGTTGCAAGTTGTATTCATACCTGGATAAAATCTGTAGATTCTGATGTTATGTAAAGCAGTTTGTGTAAATGTAAGGGAGTGTGTTTCCTGTGTAGTTTGTCTTTTACACGGTATGTGATGTTTTGCGTACAAGGAATGTATAAGTGATTTCTGTACGGTTTGATCTCAATATTGTTTTCATCAAATGCTTTGATTTATTTAGTGGTAACCATGGTGATACATGAGAAAAATACTGACACAGAATACTTTAATGTACTCAGCTTACACAGCTTGTATCAAACTGTTTTTCCATAGGAGATTTTTAAAGCAGAGGTTAGTTTTAAGGATGTGTGAAAAATACTTTAGTTTGGCTGTTAAGGGTTCCTAATATCTTTTACTTATCAGAATAGCTCCTGATCAGTTGCAAGCATTAGTCAAAAAATTTTTAAAAAAAATATGCAGAGCAACTGCATAACCCAGATCTTAGTAATTAGTACATGGATTAGTTGTTATGCTATTAGGTAAGACTGTTGGAGTGAGGAACAGGACAGGCAATATTGCTGATCTGTAGACTTGTAAGGGATATCAGTGTTTAAAAATAAAAAATTCAGACTTCAAAAGGCAGAACTGTTTTGATATCCTGGATTAAAGCCATCCAATATTTTTGGCATCGTAAGCATTTATACTGGAGATCAAGATGATCTTTCCTTTATTCCTAACAAATGTAGGTAAGGAAGTAATTTTTGTGATGCTTCCTATTTCCTGATGCCTGAATAATAGCAGTGTTCCCGTAATTGAATGGCCAAAGCAGTTTTGCTCCAGATTTGGTTGTGTCTCTTCCCAAAATAACTCTTGCTGGAATATAAGATGGTGCTATAGAAGACAACAGTTAAATTCAAACCAGTTGTTTTAAAGTTGAGGACTTTTATTGTTATGTGTTCTAATATCATCACTTCAAATAAGAACAGTTATGAGATGTCCTTAAGCATAAGGCAGAGTAGCTGTTTGTGTTTCAGGTCAAGACAGCTGCAGGAAAGAAAAAATGGAGAAGTGTTTTCTTCGTTGAATTTACATACTACTGTAGCAAGGCATTAGTTATTAAGAACTCTCCCCCCACACAAATGAATTTTGAAGAGGCAAATATATATATGATGCTTAATTCTTATTCTTTGGGAACAAGCAAATATTAGTGCCTGTAACTGCAGTTACCATTAGCATATTAACCCTGTGGCTAATGGGAAAATTTGGTTCCTGAAAATTACTGTTCCCATTTTTTTCCTTTTCTTTTGCAGGAAGGTAGTGGGGTAAATGGAGACTATCTTAAAATTCAGGTAGCGTGGATCGAAAGAATCTATGGTAGAACCATGAGAACATCACTGGTGTTTGCTAAATATGGACTTGCAGATGAGTTGTTGAGCTTTGCTGTACTGCTAAAATTGATAAGAAAGAGGTAGTTACTCTGAAGTGGGATTTAGACAGCTATTCTAGGTGTAAGTGTGAAAAGTAACTGATGCAGTAATTTTGAAATCTTTGTTCAATTCAAAGTTGAAAGAGATAGCTGTAACGATGTGAGACTTATTGGAAATAAAATGTGCTTCTTGATGCTTCAGTTGGTTAATATTAAAATTTTTTATGGTACTTTATCGAGTAATTATTTTTATCTGAAGAAGGTTATAGTTTTTCTTCATAGTGAAAAATGAAAGATCCTATTTAAGCCAGTTGGCCATGTCCTTTGTAGAGAAAAGCATTGTCAACACT